ACAGCTCACTCCACTTGTGTCTACCAACGTTAACCATCTTCGGTACCGCTACGACATTCATCTGTGTTGAGTTCACTGCACAACAGTTCGGTCGGTGCTGAACTACATGCGTTATGAAAGTGGAATGTAAAAAAACTATCACTGTTTAAACATCTTTTCTATACCAAATCATAGGAGTGCGTTCGAGAAAACAGACAAGCAATGCCAAGTTTAGGCGGATAGATTTAGGCTCATCATGCTCATTCACTGATACAAATACTCGATCCACTTGAATTATGATAATTGAGTCACATGTAAAACATATGAAAGAATAAGATTCCTCAAATTGTCTTGTTTTTCGATGCAAATACCAATTAAGAGAATGTTGAAGGTGGCCAAATTATGACCAGGTATAAAAGTGTGAAGCCTGTGACTAGGATAATGGTTCATTTGATCTGAATTCGGATCCAAAAACTTGACGTCGGTATTTTTGCGTTTATGACCCAAATCACTCAAAATGGCTTTTGCATTTGAACCTGTTTATTTCACTATGTTTTTAGATTTCCTCCGTATTCTGCAAAGCGAACTTTAACCCAAACTGATTAGCGCAAGTTTCTCACTGAATTTTCCCTTAGCAAACGCTATGTCTGATAAACCAGTTGTCACTTTGCAGCAAGTATTGCAGGAGCACGTGCTTGGTAAGATGAGTTGCGCAACATTGTGTCATTTCTCAGTGAGAGAAAACCTAGAAAAATCTCTATTGAGTGTTCTAAAACAAAAATCGGCACTTGCGAAAAGGCTGGAAGATGGTAATTAAAAATTTATAAACACGGTGCTTTTTTATTTCGCTTTAGCTACCAGCGAATACTTTGCGATTACTGAGCGCTGTAAACAGCTAGAAAGTGAGCCTGAATGTTGCATTTTACTTCAAAATTATTAAAACAGATGAGAAGAAGCTGCTACTTCACAAACTGAGCAGTCGGGAACAAAAGTGGAGTCGGTTAGTAGATTTTATTATTAGAATTGGGCTTGTTTTGTTCTTAGTAAATTTGATTGTTTCTATGCAAGATAGTAATGGAATAGGAAGATTCATTCAGAAAAAATATATTTGATACTTCAAATTTCCGCCAGATGGCATTTATCTTCATCTTAAATCAAAAGTGTACGAATACAGTTATGTGGTTACATGTTCCTGATTGTGACTGACCATCCTTCACACTTCATCTCGACGCACGTCCTCAGTTCATGCATATCATAGCTACAATCGATTTGCGGACCATCGAATTTCGTTCCTTTGCAGGCCCTGGGTGTAGTCTGCTAAATCTTCTTACGACACAAATTACTCACTACATGACCGATCCCCAGAATAGCCAAAATCCATTAAAATGTCTCAAATGTCAAATTTGCTCTCATCACTTTGCTGAAAGATCAATTTATTTTTCTGTGTCCCATGAAAAAGAGCCAAGCATCAAGCAAACACCCGTGGTGTCCATTATTATTTGCCTCATATTGGGATGCATTACATTCCAAATAAGCTATCGTACCTCATGGGGTTTTTCTAGTTTTTTTCCCATTCCGTGCCCTTTCGGACGTTATCTTTTGTTCATGCACTAGTTAATTTTTACCTGTCACAACAAACGCGTTGCTTTGTGTTTGGCACATTCTATCAGTCTCATGAATGAATTGTCAAAAGAAAAAGAACGTAGCTTGAAATGGATTCAATTGATGAATCAAGAAAAGCAAACATCCAAAACGCACAGGTGAGATTTGTGAAGGTTTTGGCAATAACATTCCCATAATCACTTTTAAGGTATGAGCACATAACAAATTGCTTCGCGCTGATGGGTGAGCAAACAAAATTCAGTTCGTTCGTGTTTCCGGTACGCGAATATGAATGATACTTTTGCTTACCATTCACAGACACTGGAAGAAAAGGCGCTACCTGAGTCTGAAATGGATCAAGAGTTGGCTGCTATCCAGCCCGGTGATGTACAGAAACAGAAGCAAATCGATGAATCGACTTCCAATACCGAAGAATAAATAACGATTTCACATCACAATTTGTAGTTAGTTTTTTTAATAAACGGTTTTTGGTGATTGCACCTTTTGATAAGATAATTAACTTTATTTGTGGAGATATTTTGTCGATTGAGAAGTTTGAGGAGACCAATATTCTGCTCACGCTTTCAAATCGACCTGTGAAAGTTCTGGATAACCAAGTAGACCATTACTGGGATCAGTTTGTTCAAACACTCATTTCACTGAGCGACTGTTTTGTTTGCAAAAATATACTCTGTTAAAAACAGTTCTCATAAACTCTAGAAACGTACGCTTTTATCATGTCCCGATGTCATGAGTGAACTTCTGCGAGGATCCATCGGGAATAACTTGTTGATAGCCTTCACGCTTTTGACAGGCTATTACCTGGTTTGTAAGGTTATACGCAAATAGTATTGTGTACCTGCAGCTTTTCGAATTTTCTGATCATTCCGAACTTCAGTTTGCAACACTTTTTCTAACCCATTGACCTTGGGGTAACATGGCACCTGGATGCAATGATTCCAGTCTCATTTTGTCTATGCGTATGCCGCTAACTGATCCTAGCCGTCATCCAAAAAGGTCTGTGTGAAAGGTCAAGTAAGAAGCTATAACGATTTAAGGTGTTATTCCACGGTTTAGTCGGTCCGACGAACTTTCCAAGATAATGGTTTGCCATTTAAGATAGGTTATGGCGTCACTGTATTAGTACTTGTTCTCTTTTCCTCATATAGGAGACTCTCGTTTATCGTGACGCAATCATTAGAATAACCCCACCATGCCATCTTCACGCATAGGTGGATGTCACTTTTTGTGACTCATCATTATGTACCGAAGGAATAGTATGTTATTCACTGATGTAAACCATCCGGCGTGCTGTAGAATGTAACAGTAAAAGTGTAGTCAGAATTTTCGTGCACAACGCACCTTACATGTTCATACTGCCTTTTATCGAAAGTTGTCAACAAATTAGTATTGCCCGGTACAGATTACTTAGTTCCTGATGACAATTTGTGCGGCGGTAACCACGTCAGTTTGCTAAGAGCTATATAGTTTAGTAAGTCAAATTTCGATTTGAACGATTCATATCAATGGTACCTAATAACTGCTCAGTACGCTGATCGAAATTGAACTATAGCGGCTGTAGCTTAAGTTGAAAGAAATTTTGTAGGTGTGGTTGATAAAGTTTAACATATTTGGTGCTCCATGCCGGATCTGAGCATATGGGAAGGATGAGTGGTTTTTCACCACCACCGACCAGAGTGGAACAGCAACGAACTGGTTCCCCAAGCTTTGAGCGGCGCGAAACGCTGTCTCTGTCTAACGGATACAGGTATAACGGAATGGATCTAACTGTTGAGTGCCCGTATCTTGCCATGGATACGAGTGGATACCATGGTGGAAGAAGCTTTTTACGGTTAACACTACCCGTCGGAATTCCTCTTAAGTCCCGTTTTACTTAGCTGTGCTTTCACTTTCCAATACTTTCGCCTTTTCCTTTGAAACATTTTTTGAATGGTGGTTTCCTTTAAAGATAAACGAATATAATTTTCGGCTCAAACAACGACTTCACCTATGAAAAGGACAGTGTAATTAACTTGTAATACGGTATTTGGGACGGTAATCACGAATAAAACGAAAATTACTAAAGTTAATTGCGCAAATCAGTGAAACAAACAGTTGTAATACTGTAAGGGAAAAACTTTTATTTTTATTAGCAGTAAACATTATACAGTAAAATGAGAAACTGATAGGTGTGTAAATATAATAATAAGTTCGAGGATGTCCTACAATGAGCAAAGCCTATAACAAACATTCTCTCCTAGCGTTCAATCTGGGACATTGATTCCACTGTAACGACGGATACATGATTTGAGTTGTCTGTAATTGTCTCTTTATGTCGAAAAAGGTGAAAAGTTTTAAATTACAACCTCATTTGTGCCTCCGAAAGCCTCAGTATGGTCGGGGGTGGGTGCCTTGAATTGTCGCTGGTCACCCTTCCCTTGTACGGCACGAAATGCTTCCATACGACCAAGCGTCTCAAAAAGCCTTTGCTGAGGAGGCCCTACTCACTGCGTTCTCGTAGCGGAGGTTTTCCAACCGAAGTGAGAGCACGAAAAGCCGACATCCGAGGCTATGACCGGTTTGGTGGACCTCTGGCAGTTCACCTAGGGGAGTTGGCCCAAAACCTTGATTCCAAACCAACCAAAAGAGATGTACTAACCACACATGCCTTCCCGATTGTGGCTGTGGTCTCCGGCTCGATTAGCATTAGGGTGTATTGAGCACCTTCGACGTCTGACCCGGTCCGATGGGCGTATGATCTGATGAACTGGACACCCCCCCAATGGACTGCGGTTTTCACACACCGTCCCGCTGCCTTGCAGGTCAGGTTTATATATAACCTCATTTGTTGAACCGAAAAAGTGCAAGGAATTGTGTTTTTCACATTTATGGATGTATAGTCTAGACTTGTTTTCAATACGTTTCAGTGGAATTAACAGGGGTTTCAGTTGAATTGGAATCAAAAGCAACGGCTAGTTTGTACCATTAAAAATACCCAATCCATTGTTTGATTTAGAAAAAATGAACAAATTACAGAAGAATTGGAACTGTCGAAAAATGTTCACCTGAATTAATGAGATGCTCAATAACGTATGCAATAACAATTCTCAAAATTACTCCTACCATATCGATATACCGTATAAAGTTCAGTCAAATTTTCAGTCACGTGCTTATAGATGCTGCGTTTCAGTGTGTACGAGACTGCACTTTTGATGTGTCCCCAAACGTATCAATCCACGTCTGTCAGAGTGGATCACCTAAACAGTCAGTCTAATCATTTAGAGAGCGATTGCATCATCTTGCGGTGGAACTAACTGGTTGTTCCTCCTACCGTGTAGCGATAGAACTTGAAGTGAATAAACTGTGTTTGCTCATGTTCGTCCGTCGAGTTTAATCCATGCGATTGTGAATACCGTACAATGGGGAAAAAAGACAGCACAACAATCGGGTATCCGTTTTTATCCCAGCGTCATCCAACAGATCCTGTTTACACGGACAAATCAGCTATATGGCATTATGTTCCACACAGATCAGCTTTCATTGAACCGATTCGTCGTGTGCCCGCCCCGATTAAATCACGGAGTGTATATGATGTCTATCCTGCCCCGATCCAATACGATCCATCACCACCTGCAAGAGTCAACCCCTACCATTTTATGTATGGACAAAGAAAGTCTTGTCTGCAAGAAACCGATGATGTGAGTCATTATATGCATAAGCGAAGCAAGTGGATGCTGCGCAAAGAATACGAACGATATCATGAGACGTGGAAACCGTACTATTATGGGTCAAAATCCGAACAGGAAGAATACAAGTAAGTTCTGTTCTGCTACGCGCTAACTTGAAGCTTAAAGCATAGAACCCTACAGCGCATATCCAACGCAATTATGCGCCTATGTTCGGTATATTTTTGTTATTGACCTCTGATCGGCTGCAGTCACACGGTGATTCAAATTGAAGTGAAAATCTATGAATGAAATAAGTGGCACATTCGGTTATCGATTAACCGAGCTATACACAAGTGATTGATTTCTATGACTTCGGCACACTGCTAGTGGACAGAAAATGGATTTCGGAGAATAAAAGAGCATCTTACATCAGTAGCACATGAAGTTCTTCCCTGGGTATTGCAACATGCTGTGTAGTGGTTAGATTTGTTCGATATATTTGGATTGATAGTCATTTGAAAAACACTCAGACGAGCGGTCGGTGCTATTTTATATTCCATTTCGCCTGTTCGCCGAGCTTGGCAATTTGTTTGCAAACGTTTCATCACCAGCCGAAGTGACATCATCAGTGCTTGTGCCACTTCACATATTTTATATTGCCTGAAATGAATATTCAGCAATCATTGTTTTCGAATATCAGGTTTTCCGCGCGATTTCTTTTTTCAGGGATTCTCCCCTGATTCTTGTATAGCTAAATGCTAACTGTTAGGTCTTAATTGGTCGCGGGCGAGATTCGCACGTTTCCATGCTTTCTACGGTTATTCGAAACTTTCTTTTATAGAGAAATTACTTGATAATCAAAAGCCCACCACGTGCTAGATCATTACCACCGACGATCCCTTATTCAGCTGTGCAATACCTTTCAATCAAGGTCGAATCACCTAGGTGCTGGGTTTTCTCTCCGTGAGCTACAGACACATCCAGTAACTCACAGATCCACTGAAGTTGCCTACTACCTTCTATATTCTCGGATATATCACCTTCCGTATTTACTAAAATCTTCCTCGTTATCTATTCTGTGCTATCAAACTCATTATCAGAACCTAACTGCAACTCCCATTTTGAATGTTCTGTATCACAGAGCCCGTCGTAACTTGATATTCAACTTCATCTTCCAGGTTCCAACCAACAAACTAAAGAAATCAAAATACCAAAAGTACTCCGATAAAGATCTTAACTTTGGGCTGGGGTTGACAGCAAATATGAGCTCAGTCGCTCAATCTTTTATCGTCACAACGACATTTAGTTACACACAGGCTCGAGGATGGCTCATTGACCAGCTGGAGCCATACATGCGGTTTGTGTTTCCCCCATCAACTCTCAGTTCAGTAATATCTGAGGTTACCATTTCTCTCAAAGCAATAAAAGATGATTACAGTGGTTTAAGATTGTTCACCTTGGCAACATATGCTGGCCCGAATTTCGTATCACCTCGAAGACTCGTTGAAGTGTACATTCGGAACATTCTTGATGGAAGTGAAAAAATGCTAAGAAATATTTTACAAAAACGAATTAAATACCTTGGCATTCGGATACACCGAAAAAGGCGGTTTGCCATCTGGTAGAACACTAGTTACCTCTCCTTTTTCTCTGAACCGTTTCAGTTACCCCAGTTTGACATCATTCCCTTGGGACATAGTAGATTTATCCTAAAAGAGCTTTTAGTTTGCGGGTGAACGTTCAAAATTGTCCGTATCAATTTTTTCAATTATTTTTCTCCAGGAGCAGACACCGTGTAGTGCTCCATTATTTTTATACATCGTGAAACAAAATTAAGCGATCCAAAGGCTTCTATACAAAGTGAAAATAATCACTGATGAGAAGTGTCAAACTAAATATTTTTAGGTATTTGGTCAAATGTTTGCAGTTTTCCCCACCTCAAAATAACAATTTATAGGCCGAGTTTCATTTCCACAGTCAGTATCCCTTACCTCGTAGCCCACTGTATGCTTTCATTGTGATTCTGACAATTATTGAGCGTTGTAAATTCGATTCGGTTTCACTACGAAGACCTTCATGTCATCGTATGGACTGATCAGCCCAGTCGTTATACTTCATGACCAGTAATTGGTCATCAGTTGACCCCAACTGTGAATCTGTGCATTGGCTGTCTCAGTAATTGGGCGCGTGGATTCATGATCAACTTGCGACACCTGACATCGGTACTGCTGAGTAAGTTGTCCCACCAACATGCATACAACGCTGCTTTCGGTCAACAGCTAGAAAAATGCAACAGTCCACCTAGCATCCTCTCACCTTAACATACGGCTTGCTTTTTCGGAGCTACGCAAATATCTGAACATAAATGGTGCACTGTAAAATCGCCAGGACATGAGTGGTTCCACCAGATATGGACGTTTCCTCAAAACACTGGGCATGAAGAAGCAACTACTGACAGTGGCATCATATGTTGAACTTCGTTGTGTACAGAGCAGATAACCGTGAACTGAAAGGCTAGGAGGTATTGGACAACTATTCCCATCTGATTGAGTTTCGTTAGCAGTGAGAATCCATCGACTCATCTGGGGCTTGAATCCGGGACCTCAGCTCAGGTAGAGTGCAAGCATACTACCCACTCGGCAACCAGTTTGATGATCAGACCCTTTTTCATTTTGCCAATACACGCCAACTCATCTTTGCACGCTTAGTGCAGGTGTCACTCGTGGCTAATCTCAGTGCTAGCCTTCGGGGCCATGTCTCGGTTGGAAATAATCTGAACTTGTTTTTACTTCAACATGTGATTAAACCAAACCATCTACTACAACAATCAAATTTATTGAAACATTTAAAAATAGAATTTGAATGAAGAACGAAGTCTTTTTTAGTGATTCTTTATTTTATCAATATGGAAATTAGCATAAACGTCACAAGATCAAATAGAAAAGTGCATTCGTGACGAAATATCTGGTGCCAAATTATTTTGCAAGAGGTTTTATTTCAATACTTGTATGTTGTATACTATGCTTGGGATATCCCTCGTGAACGGATTCACCAGACAACCGAATTCGGGCCGAGTCTCGGTGCGGGCTGGAACTGTCGACAGACAGGAGGTTATCTGTAGCGAGGGTTAACTGACAATCTGTAAGAGAGGGAAGTACAAACACAATGAACCAAAAGGTCCAGTGAGAAATAAACACGACTCACACTCAAACTGAACGGCAAGTTGCCAAGTTTGTTACAGTTGCGGATATCTTAAGGCGGACACGGTTTGTGTTAAGTGGGAAATGATCTCTGCAGCACGCATTTACACTTTTTCCCCCATTCACCTACACGTCCCACAGCAAACTCCTTCTCTCTCTTTTGTCCAACCAGTTGGTTATCAATATATCGACTGTGACACGCTTACATTCCGCATTTAATACTACCATTTTTCTGAATTATACCGGGCTGTGTTTGATCTGCCACATACAAAGGAAACGTATAACTTGACTGGGTTGAGTTGTTACCGGCAACTACTGTGATTATTAGTGGTAAATTTTCAGCTTAATAGAAAAGCAGCAATGACCGGACACTGTTCCTCGGAGTTTATTTTCTCGGGAATCTTACTGAGATGTAATATTTGTCATGTCTTACTTTCTTGTTGAATTAAGTATAAAGTTTTACAATTGATTTCTGGGTGTGAGGGGAGGGGTCACGACTGTTGTCTGGGCTCAGACAGATCCAAATGGCAGTGGCTGAATTCGAACGTTGAACGATCAAGCAGATACATCGGTGATTGACATCGTTCGATCTCGGCCGTTCATATGAGGAACTGAATTAATTTTGTTTAATGACCACTCCTGGAATGCTTATGATTTATTGACTAATAAATCTGTACAAAAGCAAAATAGGATAATCCGAAGAAGGGAGTCAGCAGTTTTTACACGTACTCTTACCTCGCAGGTTGTGACAGCGATAAATGGTGCTCGGTGAATCAACCGCACCATGTTAGGTATCATGGTTTAATTCATTTCGATTTGTGTAATCAATGACCCCGTACCCAGTTCCAGGCTGCTCTGCTATTCTTTGGTAACTAAACTGGTCAACTAACGAAGAATTACGCAGTACTAAGCGTCAAACTGGAACAAACGCGGAAAAGATACCGAATGCAAGTCACCAGTTCCTTGATTACTATTGCTTACTAGTCTGAGAAAAGTCACTTTTAACAGTATATTAGGCTGGTCCCTACAAAACTAACCGGGGAGTTCAACATGATTTCTAGAAATACACGGTTGCTGGAAAACAAGAACTTCATTCCACCGGGACAACTGTGGTGATCCGGGCCTACGAGATGATGCGTACCCTGGAGCGACGCGTTACAGCTTTTGGACAACTGCGATCAATAAAACTTCACGTGACATCAACAACGCGCGTACGTGTCACTGCTTCTGACTACATAACATAGGTAGATCGTACCAGCCAATCAGAGACTGTGCGGCCCAGACGGAAGGAGAACGATGCCAGGAATACTGGAACGCGATTGGTGGGATCCTGGATAACCAATGAGCCTACTTTATACATATTATTTAATCCTTTTGATTTCTTCCGATAAAGGAACTACTACTCCTGAGGCCTTTTTCCTCGCGCCTCAGTTACGTAGGATAATGAGTGCTAGTGCCAAT